GAACCCGCGTCCCCTGCATCGGCAGGCGGACTCTCAACCACCGCGCCACCAGGGAAGCCCCTCTGCTATCTTTTGCTCTGTAACTAACCGCCCTCAAGTTTGATGGATTAAGACAAAACACTTATTATTAAGCCAGGTTTGAGGGGTGGCTGAGTGCGATTTGTCCAGGGCCAGTCCCTCTGGGGCCCCGTGTCCTGGGCAACTTCACTAGGGCTGGCGGTCGGCGGCTCGCTGGTCCAGTGACTCGCTGTCTTGTCTGGCTGTCAGCGTGACGTCAGCTGGGCCAGCAGAGTTTGTCACCCATTAGGTTAGTGATGCTCCTTCGTATGGTGGTGGAAGGTCCCCAGCGGTGGAGAGGGCAAAGCCCCAGTTCACAGTGCCTGCCCTTCATGCGTATCACCTCAGCTGTTTCTCTACCAGATCTGCATCCCAGTTATTCAGTGGTGCCTGGTGAGTGGGCATAGAAAGGAAAACATCCACACGGAGCTCCTCCTGTGTCCACCAGCCGGCCGAGGCGCTTTACACACACACACATACTCACGCACACTCACACACACACAAGGTAGATCTGATCTCCTCAGACACGAGGAAACTGGTGCAGAGGGTTTAAGGAAATGGCCTGGCGTCACACAATGCCCGCAAAAAAAACAAAAAAAAACAAAAAAAAACAATCAATCGCATCTCCTGCTGCCTGACCACGCATTTCCTGGAGTCTCACATCCACGCTGTTTCCTAGGTAACCACCACACAGCCCGCAGGACCGTCCGCATGAAAGGAAGGGGGGTGGTCCCTCCAGTGTCCACTCTTCCCCTCTTTTCCTGCGTCAGCAAGGCTGCAGCCCTTTGTTGGGGCGTTACCGTGGGGCAAAAACAGAAAAAAACCGAAAGCTTGCCGGTGGGATTAAATTTCCAATAAGATACTCCTGCTCACTGAAGGGCCACATTCATTGAGCATCTCGCCTGTCAGAACAGTGAGCCGGTTGCTATTTTTATTCACTCCCTGCCTTTCCCTTTCCCTCAGGCTTTCTGTCTTCACAGCAGGCTCCCTTTGCTGGCGCCACAGCCAGTGAGAACTCCTTACTCCAAAGAGCCTGTGCCCTTGACCCCAGGACCTCCTCCCCTGGGGCAGTGGGCAGCGGCCCTGCAGGGCCCTCATCCTGCCCTGACCTGCAAGTGACCAGGGCCAGCAAGTGTCTGTGCCACGGGGCCGTCATCCTGGCGCTGAGTCTTTGTCATCGTGCTTGCCCTGTGATGGTCCCTGCAGGTGGCCGCTGGGACCTCAGGAATTTGACCGCCTGCCCTGATACTGGGACAGGCTCGGGGAGGGGGGAG